TTCCCAGAGGTTTTGGCAAGTGGTGTTTTCATTGTCATTAGTATTTCCAGCATTTTGAGAAAGCACCATACTGCCTTCCATAGTGGTTGCACCATTTTACACTCTCACCAACAATGAATAAGGGTTCCAGTTTCTCCACAACCTCACCAGCATGTGTTGTTTGCTGTTCTGTTAAATTTTGCTATTGTTACTGAGATGAGATGATATCTCATAGTTGTTTTGATTTGCATCTCTCTTAGAATTAGGGGTTTTGAGCATTTGTTTATGTGTTTGTTCACCATCTGAATGTCTTATTTGGTGAAGTGTCTGTTCATATCCGGTGTCCATCTTGCAATTGGGTTGTTTACCCTTATCTTATTGTGGTGCAAATCTATTCTTAAAATGTTTTCTAAATTCAGATAGAGTATATTCAAGATTGTATTTTGTTACAGACCTGTTTTTGTTGTCTTCAGCTTCAACTCAAAATTGCATTATGAGCGATTGATGTTTTATTCTATAGTCAGCCCATGACCTTGTTCTGCCTGATGGGACTGAATCTATCATCTCTTCTTGCAGATGTAGTCTGTTTGATTCCTATATATTCCATCTGATGAAGCCCACATACACAGTTGCTGTAATTCTTTTAGGAGGTACTTGTAATTAATAAGTCATTGATCATACAAAATTCTGTGCACTCCCTGACCTCATTTCTATCCCTAAAGCCATATTTTCTGACTACCAGTTTTCTTTGTTTCTAACTTTTGCATTCCAATTACCAATTATTATTAATGTATCTTGGTTACATACTTGACAATTTTCAGATTGCAGAAACTGGTTTTTAAAAAATCCTCATTGTCTGCATGTTTTAACTTTAATGGTTGGTGCATACATTTGATTAATAGTATTAATAAGTCTTCTTTGTGTGCTTATGATTCTTATCCTAACATTGGCAACACAAAAATCCATTTCAGCTCACCACCGCCTGGAATATTCATCTTTATGTGTTCCACTTTACTTTTGACAGTTTCGTTTCCCCAGAATCGTACTTCTTGCAGTCTGCCTTCCTATTATTAATGGGTTGTTTGCTGCTATTTTTCCTTATTTTGGAGTCATGGCATATCAGCAAATGAAGGTCTTTCATTGGCTGAACGCTTTTCTCCATCTACATCACTAAAGTAGACTCTACAGAGATCATTTTCCCCTAGTCCTGTTTTTTTTGTGCCTTCTAACCTGAAAGTCTTAAGCCTTCTAGCAACATATATCAAAAAATACCCTGGTACTGTTCCAAGAGTTGCTAAAGTACCATTTTTCACAAGTGGATGGCCAGGACTGCTTCCTAGTCTGCCTTAGCCTGGAAGCCTGCCTGAAGCCTGCCCACTGTGAGTGACCCTGCTGGTATTTGCAACATTGGTCATAGCTTCCAGTATCCCAGCAAGATGCAAACCACTACTCTCCCACCAACTGATAAACAAGTGACCGCAATGCCTATGTGCATTTTATTCATTCATTCATTCATCACTCCTTTCTCTTTTTTCTGATTTCCCTATAATATCACAGCCTATACTAACATCAAGTGCTAGCACTTTGTCAAATGCACACCACCTTCTGCCCCTTCAACCATCTCCACCATCTGAGACTTGATTCTATTACAGCATTTCCTAGAAGTCCAGATTCCCTGAGCCCCATCAGTCCACTGTTGTAAAACCCCCTCTGCTGACCTCAGTCCACCAAGAAGAGTGTTAGCAGCTGTCACTCCGGTGTGCAAAAATTCCCCTGGAAAAAGCTTTAAATAGTAAAACGGAACAAAATCAATATTATCTGAGAGGTTGGGTTCTCCTTCGTAAAGCTTGTGTTTCTTTTTTAGGGTAGTTATACTACTCGATATCTCTGCAACCAATTCCATGTACATTATTCATATCCAGCACTCCCTGAGGCTCCTGCTCGAGGAGCAGTTGTCTAACAAGGACTGCTTCAACCTCATCGCGTGAGTGTGCCGCAGAACTGGTGGGGCGGGGAGGTCGTGTGTGCTGGGGTGGCCTGGCAGGAAGCTGGGAGACGCACATTTAGGGGTCCCCAGCATCCGAGGCTAGCCAGCTGGTTTATCTGATTTGGAGGATCTTGTTTGGGTCATTGAATAATTAAACGGTTGTAGGCTGGCCCCACTGGGGTGAAGGTGATAAGGGGCCCCAAAAACACATGCTTGATGAGCCAGGGTAAAGTAACCCAGCTCGTTGCCCCATTTGGCTTCCAAGTCGGTAAACACAAAGGAGGAAAGGAAGGTCTCCCAGCTGGGCCCTGGTCTCGGCATCTAACTCAACTTAAGCAACCCACAGCGTTTCAAACCTGAAGGATCCCAAAGCTAAACAGTGATTCCCCCTCCTCCTCCCTCTTACCTAGTCCACACTCATTGCCGTCAAGCTGGAACTGACTCAAAGCTGATCCTTTGGCAGATTTTTTGGAGATTGTAGATTGCACAGGAAAACATTGCCCCTATTTCTCCCAAGGACCCATTGGTGGATTCAAACCACCAGGAAGGCACCACCTTTAAGTTAGTCGTACAACGCCCATGCCTCAGAGCTCTCCAACATACCCCTCTCATGACTGACTCTCTGGTAGGTTTTCAGAGGCTATCTATCACAGGGGAGATTAACTATCTTTTTCCTAAGGAACAGCTGGTGGATTCAAACTATATGCCATTGGGTTGGCAGCACAGCCCTTTACCCACTAGGCCACCAGAACTCCTTCGTGTCTACTCCTGGTAACCTCTAATAAGCTTTAGTCTTATACCCTTGTTGAAGGAGCTCTGGTAACCTAGTGGTAAGGAATTAAGCTGCTAACCCAAAGATAGACAGTTTGAATCCACCAGCTGCTCCATAGAAGAAAGATGGGCAATAATATCCTCCCTTGTGATTCTTAGCCTTTGAAAAGGGGCTGGAAAGGCAACTGTGAATTGGTTCCAGCTCCATGTCAATGAACATACAATTATTACTTCTAGATATTTCATATAAGTAAATGATAAAAGTATTTGGCCTGTTTATACATGTGAATATATGCCCATTTCATAACCACTTCAACCAGAGGAGAACCCACCTGTGACATCTTTCCCCACAGAGCTGCTAGTGGGTTCAAACCACTGACCCTACTGTTAGCAGACAAACACTTTAATCCTGTGCCACCAGGACTCCTTAGGCAGGAGACCAGTTAGAGAAATTGTGTGCCCTTGTGTTGACTGGCATGAACAAAGACAATGGGAATAAGAAGAAAGCTGTCTGTCCATCAGAGGGGCTGGGAAATGAGACTCTGAAGACTCCATTCTCATACTTTGGACATGTTGGAAGAAGGGACCAGTCCTTGGAGAGGGAGGTCATGCTTGGGAGGGTGGAGGGACAGCACAGGAGAGGAAGACCCTCGATGAGATGGATTGATTCAGTGACTGGGGTAATGGGGTAGGTGTGTCAGAGACAATAAGATTGTCATAGGATAGAGCAGGGTTCAGGGCTGTTGTACATAGGGTCACTGTGAGTCACAGACAACTCGTTGGCACATAACTACAACAACAACAACACAGACTACATTAACTTTTTGACTGTAGGGAATGAGACAATGGAGAAGGAGTGAATATGGCCTGGGTGGAACAGATCATGGGAGAATAAGGTGGTTTTTAAAAAAAATATTGAAGGGAGTGCTGGTGGCCCAGTGGCAACAAGCTGCACTGCAATCCTAGAGGTATGCAGTTCAAATCCACCAGATGCTCTGCTGAAGAAGGAGAGCCAATCTCCTCCTGTAGCAATCAGATCTGATATGATGGTACACACACACACACACACACAAATAATAACATTTAAAACTTTAAAAAAATAAATAAAAAAAGATTGAGTGATTGTCAAGGTATGATGTCCCATAGGGACACGAATCCATCATGATGGATTCTAGGCAGGAAACAAACATGGTTGAAAACAGAAGTGTAGGGAGGTGTAAAGGGGACAAAAGACAGTCAGAGATTTGAAGGGAGATTAGAAGACGGGAATCCCTAAAGGAACACCAGAAAGGTGCAGCAAAAAGAGGGAGAGAAGAACCAGGAGGACAATTGTAAGAGGAGGAAGGGTTTGGAAAAACTGAGACAGACCCTGTAGAACCAGGAAAAGAGGTGGCCTGAGAGTCCCTTGAATGTGATAATGAAGCTAATTGGTATGAAAACAATGAGATACGATTTTTAAAAATTCAATTAGCAAATGTTTGAAAGATTGCAAAAGGCCAGTGCTGGTGGTAATGTGAGGAAGAGCAGTCTCAGAAAGTGTTGGAGGGAGTGCGATTTGGTATGAGTTTATGCGTGAATATTTTTAAATGTGTCGTAGTTGTTCTTTCATTAAGCTTTTAACTGCTCCTGAAGACATGCTAAGTATTTCAGCATTTTTACAATATAACCCAACCCACTGCTGTGGAAATTTATTCCAACCCTCCATTGGGTTTCCAAGTCTGGAAATCTTCGTGGGAAGATACTGCCCATCTTTCTCCTGAGGAACAGATGGTAGATTCAAACTACCAACATCTAGGTTCACAGAGCAGCACGCTCTGCACTATGCCACCAGAGCTCCTCTGTACAGGACAGCGATACCACGTATATGCAGCGTGCTGTGCGCCATCACCATTATCCATTTCCAATTGTTCTCATTATCCTCAAAATAGAAATTTCACACACTTTAAGCATTAACTCCCTGTTTCTCTTCTCTTCTGCTCTGGCAACCGCTGATAAGCTTTGGTCTCTTTAAATTTTCTATTCTAATATTCTGTCATCTAAGTGGAAGCATTCACAATTTTGTGTCTTATTTTTAAGATTCAACTATACCGTACCTGTACCAGGATTTCATTTCTTTCTGCCTGAGTAGTATTTCATTGTATGTTTATACCATATTTTGTTTATCCATTCTGCTTTCTCAATTATTATTTCTTTTTATTGTGATTTCAGTCAAAGTTTACAAAGCGAATTTATTTTTCCATTAAACATTCATACACATTTTGTCGGATAACAAATTATAATACCCACAATGTAGTTGCACTTTCCCCACTTCATCCTTATAATTCTAATTTTCATCAATCCTATTTTACCTTCCATTCAGATTTTGATTTGAGATTGTTTGTACTTGTTCTTTTTAGCTACCATGAACATTGGTATATGAGTTCTCTATTTGCATTGTGTTTTCAGTTATCTTGGGAATACACCTAGGAATGGAATTGCTGGTTTGTTCTAGCCACAATTACTTAAGAAAGATGTTACTATTTTTTATTGTAGGAGGATGGAAAAATATTTCTTTTTTTTTCAATATGAAGAGAAACATCTAGAAAGGCAATGGAGAAGAGGGCAGTAGAGACAAGTGGGAGTGTGTGTGTATGTGTGTGTGTGCACATACACATGTACCCATAGGACAAGGCCTCTGAAGAGATTGCCAGTTATGAAGCCAAGAGCCAGGTGCAGGAATTAGTCTTAAACCAGAGAGAAGACACGTTTCCCTTGATAGAGAAAATAACTTATCTTCTCAAAGATCCGAAATACTGTCTTAGCAGAAAAATGAGATATGCATACTCTCAAATACAACTGTAGTACAATAGAAAGTGTTTTGTGAACCTGAAACCAGGGCTGAGAGAGCTTGGAAAGAGTGGGCTCGCTGACACCTTGGTTGCTGAGGAGGTTTACGTGGAGATGGGAGAGGGTACAGTTAGCATGAGGAGGGAGGCTTGCCTGAGCCAGTTGTCCCTGTGTCTCCATTTGAGAGAGGCCCACTAAGAGCAAGGAAATCTCATGACTGGCCAGAGAGATCCTTCTGCCTTGGGAGCCCTGGTGACCTAGTGGTGAGTAGTTGTACGACCAACTCAAAGGCAAGTAGTTCAAATCCACCAGCTGCTCCACATGAGAAAGATGAGCAGTCTCTTCCTGTGCCATTTACAGCCTCTAAAGACCCACTGTAGAGTCAGCCGTGAGTTGGTTCTGATTAGAAAGCAAACAATAACAGCAACAATCAGAATTTTGCTACCTTACGAACCTGAGGAGTCCTGAGAGCTAACCCACAGAATACATAAGCCTCCTGCCTAAGAACGAGTTTTTCTTTGCTTCCCTCAAAGGTTCGGGAGCACAGTCGAAAGCTGGAGGCCGGAGATGGTTCCGGTGAGCCACGACAACCTGCAGAGCGCCTGGAGGTAGGTGTCATTGCCTCTGTCCCCTCAGACAGGAAGTAGCTCCCTAGAGTTCCTGCCTCCCAACGGACCTTGGAAGAATTCCTAAGGCCACTGCCTTCCGCTCCCTCCTCCCCCACTGCGCTGATCCACACAAGCCCTCTTTCCCTGGGGGCCACTCAGATGGACGCCTCGGTCAGCAGCCTCCTCTTCCTCCTCCTCTCCAGGTGGACCCTGGGCCTGCGGTGTCAGGGCAGCAGGAACATCCTCAGTGCCCTGCGGAAGGCCGTGGAAGTGGATTTCAAGGACAAAGATAAATATCAATCGCAAGGCATCTACCTCTTCACAGGAGGCATCGCTGACCAGGATATGGTGGGTGGGCAGGGTCCCAGGCTGCGTCTGTTGTCCGTTGTCCTCCAGTGAGCATTGGTGGCTTAGTGGTGAGGAATTCAATTGCTGATACAAAGGCATGGTGTTTGAATCCACTAGCCACTACTCTGGAGAAAGATGAGCAGTCTCCTCGTCGGCGATTCACTGCCTCTGAAAACCCACCGCAGGGTCAGCAATGATTCATATCCTCCCGGTTCATGCTAACATTCTCCTCCCGTGGAACTCAGTGGTTAGCTTCTCCAGCGTGACTATCTAAACACACTCATCTCAAAGTTGGACCCAACACCCAGAGCTCTTGTTAAAACATAGGTTCTCGTTTTGCAGTTCTGGGGCCAGACTGAAAGTCTGCATTTCTCCTGAGCTCTCAGGGAATGTCCTTTCACTGTCCAACATGGCCTCACTTGGAGCTCTTGTTCCAGGATCTTAATTTAGTAGATCTGGAGGCAGGCCTGAAAGTCTCCATTTCTCCCTAGCTCTCAGGGAATGTCCTTACGCTGCTCTCCAGCCCACACCTCCACCCTAATAACCAGGGATCTCCAGGCAGCTCCTAAGCCCACCCTGGGAAGTGATGATCTCATCATCATGTCCTCATCTGTCTTCAGTGCTTCTAGGCAGGGAACACAGTAAGGCGTCAAGAAAGATGATCAAGTCAAGCTGACTTGAGATCAAGCTGTGTACTTTCTCCTATGCTCTGTCCCCCTACAGTCCATTCTCAGTGCTTACATGGCCGAGGCCTGTGCAGGCTGTGACCTCCAGCTGAACGTGTGTCTCTTCTACATGGGAGAGCCAGAGATGAACAGCACCCCACCTGCCTGCTATGCCAGCTTCAAGGACACAGCCGACGCCTACAGGGAGGCCACGCGGGCTACCAGAGGCCGCTTCCACTGGTTTGGAGACACGGGTGTGTGAGTGTTGGCTTATCCCCTATCTCTCTTCCCAGCCAGCTAGCCCCAGCACAGCTCCCTGATGCAGGAGTTGTGTCAGAAGCATGTTGAAGCATGTCGATGTTGTAGTGAGCTGCCTTTGAATTGGCTCCTGATTTACAGAGACTCAACAAAACACGTGAAACTTCCTCTCACGTAGTTTTGGACATGTGATCAGGAGAGGCCTTGGGAAATCATGCTGGGAAAGACAGAGGCTCAGAGAAAGAGAAGAAGACCCTCAAAGGGAAGGACTGACATAGTGACTGTAATAATGGGTTCAAGCGTGGCAGAGATGGTGAGGATGGCGCAGGTCAGGGCCAAGTTCAAGTCTGCTGCTGTTCATAGGGTTCGCTGTGAGTTGTAGTAACCACCTCATAGGTGCCTAACAGCAACAGAAGGACATGCTGCCTGGCGCTGCACCTTCCCCAGAGGCCAGACTGTAGTGCTGTGATCTGTGGAGGTTTTGTTTGCTAATTTGTACAACTCCAGGTCTTTCCTCCAAGTCCACCTGAGCCTGGAAGCTCCGCTAACTCCTGTTCAGCATCCTGACAACCTGGACTACTTTAAAATACTCCCGAATATCTCAACAGAAAGGTCCCGAGCGATCCCCTGGCTTGGTGCCCCCCACAGTGTGGCGTGCTCACGGCATAGCTGTGGCCAGTACACATGGGGTTATCTTCTTCCTGTGATGATTACATGCTTCTTCCAACATTTCTTAGTCAAATGTCAGCTTGCCACCAATGTGAGCAGTGACCTCAGTTTTCTTTGTGAAATAGGCTTTCCAGTGAATCGATGAAAGTGATCTATTACGTAAACAATGTTTAGAGAAGATGCAGATGAAGCAAAGATTCTGACAGAAAATTGAGAGTGGCAGAGGTCTGGGACACCCTGGTGCGTTCCCACCTCCTTGATTTCCAGATGAAGGGACAACAGGATGTGATGAGCCTGCGGTCACACCATTAGAAGTGAGGCCAGCTGCAACACCAGGATCTGTTTGTCAGTCTTTTCATGAAAAATGGTGGCCATATATGTTTATATTATGGGTTATTAATAGTAGTTACTGATGAACAACTATGTTAGTTTAGAGACTAAGGTGTGCCTGATCCAGGCCATGGTCATTGCAATTATTCACTATACATCAGAAAGCTGGACAATGAATAAGGATGACAGAAGAAATGATGTCTTTGAGCGGTGGTGGTGGAGAAAAGTATTGAATATACCATGGACAGCCAGGAAACCAAGCAGGTTCTTGGAGGCAAGGATTCTGAGGCTTCGTCTGACATACTGTGGGCATGTTGCAAGGACTAATCCTTGGAGAAGGACAACATGCTTGGAAGGGTGGTGAGACAGTGCAAGAGAAGACTCTGAATGAGATGGATTGACTCAGTGACTGGGGTAACGGGGGTTGGTGTGTTAGAGAGAGATTGGCTCTGGGTTCAGAGCTGTTGTACAAAGGGTCACCATTCGCAAATGACTCAATGGCACATAACAACAATAGTAGCAGCAAGCACACTTCTGTAACAGCTTCACCAACTGTGTGCCAATTGTACTTTGGTGACCACAATGCTGGAAGCTGTACCATCAATATTTTGAATACCAGCAGCTTCAGCCATGGTGGACAGGTCTCAGCAGAGTTGGGAAACTCAAACTAGAAAGAAAAGCCTACCAATATAATTCCAGAAATTAGTCAGTGGAACCTCTGTGGATTACAGCAGGGTATTATATTGGTAAGTGTAGGGCTGGAAGACAAGCCCCCTAGGCTGGAAGGCAATCAGAGTACCAGTGACCACGCAGTGCACTTGAGCATACCCATGACCATGAAGATGCCATAGGACCAGACAATTCATCTGGTAAACATGGAGTCCCATGACTTAGAACCCTCTCAATGGCAACATGCAACATGTGACAGCTATTTTATGCCAGAATCTATTCTAAATGTTTTGCATATGTTCTCATTCATCCCTCATACAACCCTACAAAGGGAGGTATTCTCACTTAGGCAGGGTTTTTTGTTTATTATTATTCACTTTAATGAAAATTTACAGAGACTTTGGATTTCCGTTCATTCATTGTTGTACTTTTCACTTAGGCAGTTTTACAGATGTGAAAGATGAGATATAGATGTTGTTGTTGTTGTTGTTGTTGTTATGTGCCATCAAGTTGCCTGTGATTCATCACAACCCTATGTACAACAGCCCTAAGCCCTGCTCTATCCTGTGCCAATCTTATTGCCTCTGACACACCTACTCCCATTACCCCAGTCACTGAATTAATCCATCTCATCGAGGGTCTTTCTCTTCTACGCTGTCCCTCCACCCTCCCAAGCATGACATCCTTCTCCAAGGACCGATCCCGCCTTGCAACATGTCCAAAGTATGTCTGACGAAGCTTCAGAATCCTTGCCTCCAAGGAGCAGCCTGGCTTCACCTTCTCCAGGATGAACCTGTCTGTTCTCTTATCAGTCCATGGTATATTCAATATTTTTCTCCAGCACCACAGCTCAAAGGCATCATTCTCCTATGCTCCCTGGTCATTGTCTAACTCTCTGATGCATAGAAAATGATTGCAAAGACCATGGACTGTATCAGGTGCACCTTAGTATCCAGAGTCTCACTATTGCTCTTCAGTACTTTGGAGAGGTCTCTGACAGCAGATTTTCCCCATTAAATATGTCTTTTCATTTTCTGGCTGCTGGTGCCAAGAGTGTTGATTGTGGAGCCAAGCAAACTAAAGCTGTTTACAATCTCAGTCTCTTCACCATTTACCACCATGCTGCCACTCGACCCAGTGGTGAGAATCTTTGTTTTCTTGATATTGAACTTCAATTTATATTGAAAGCTGCAGTCCTTGACCCACAGCAAGTGCTTCAGATCCTCCTCAGTTTCAGCAAGCAGGGATGTGTCATCTGCATAACACAGATTGTTGATGAGTCTTCCTCCAAACCTGATGCCACATTTCTCCTTATAGAGCCCAGCCTCCTGGATAATCTGTTTTGCATATAGATTGAAAAGGCATGGAGATAGGACATACAGATAGTTTAAGTATTTTCTCAGAAGCATATTTGCTCCCTAGTAAGTGGTATAGCTAAGAGTTGAACGCAGGTGGACCAGTTACAGGTCGCATTCTTGGTCAGCTGGAACTGATTCATAGCTGATCCTCTAGAGGGTTTTCAGAGGCTGTAAATCTCATGGAAAAGATTGCCCATCCTTCTCCTGAAGAGCAGCTGGTGGATTCGAACCATATCCCTTTGGGTTGGCAGCACAAATCCTTACCCATCGGCCACCAGAGATACAGTTATCAGCTATTTTGCATAATCCCTGGGTGCATGTTTTTCCCTTCATGAAGTAGCAGGACCTTTGCTCCTGTTCTTCACAGGGGAGTGAGCTCTTGGCTGGAGAGCAGGACACTGGACCTCTAGGCCAGTTTCACTGCTGTCCCTTCAGCTTAATACAGTATAAGGGTGTCCCATCATGGGCTTCAGAACAGAATCATCCCCACATGGCCACTTTCCTCCGGATGTGGGCACTTCTAGGACCGTGTCCCTTCCCCATGTTCACAATGTGCTTTGTTTGCAGACATCTACGAGAGTGATGACATCAAGGCCATTGTGTCTGAGATGGAAAAGGCCATCAACTACTCCCAAAAGGTGAGTCAGCCATCCTGATCCACTCATGACCAGGCTTCCCATAAAGCACTGGTGTTTCCCAGAAGGCCTCAGCTTAGGTCTGTGTGCTGTGGTCCTTGATTGCCAAGAAACTCTTTCCTAAACTCGTTCCTAATCCCAGCACCTCTCTACCCACTGCCTCTTCTGCCTGCCATTCCCATTTCAAGGCCTGGAAAAGGATATGGGCTGGAGAATGGGATCAAGGCCAGTTCAGGCCCTGGAAGTGTATAGAAAGTACACAGCCATGGTCAAGGCAGGGAGGAGTATAGGAAGAAGACACATCCTATATTTTAAAAAAAAAAATTAATAAGACTGCAAGTTTCTGTTGCTGCTGTTGTTAGGTGCCATCAAGTCAACTCGACGCACCACAGATCTGAGCCTTGTCCTGTCCTGTCCTGTCCTGTCCTGTCCAGTTTTTGTTGTGACTGTGGTAAAGTGGAAGCCCGGGGTGGTGCATTAGTGAAACATTCAGCTGTGAACGGCTGCACAGGAAGAGGGCGTGGAGGTCTGTGTCCATAAAGGAAACCCAGTGGGACCACTCTGCTCCCACAGGTTCACTGTGGTTGGGATTGACTCATGGCAACAGGCACAGGGGAAATGCTGCTCACCTTCAAACTCATGGCTGTCGAGTCGGTTCTGACTCATAATGACCCTCCATCAGGTTTCTGAGGCTGTAAATCATAGTGGGAGGAGACCGCTCCTCTGTTTCCTTCAGAGCAAGAGGTGGATTCAAACCACCTTTAAATAGCAGCGCAGTGCCCTGTGCACTCCACCACCAGACCTTCCTTTGGTAAAACACACATACCGGGGGCGGAGCGCGGCCGCGCTGGCGCGTCGAGGGCAGAGGCAGCCGCCGCGATGGATGTGTTTCTGATGATTCGGCGCCACAAAACCACCATCTTCACTGACGCCAAGGAGTCGAGTACCGTGTATGAGCTGAAGCGCATCGTCGAGGGCATCCTTAAGCGGCCACCAGACGAGCAGCGTCTGTACAAGGACGACCAGCTCCTGGAGGATGCCAAGACTCTGGGCGAGTGTGGCTTCACCAGTCAAACAGCAAGACCCCAGGCTCCGGCCACAGTGGGGCTGGCCTTCCGGTCAGATGACACATTTGAGGCTCTCCGCATTGAACCATTCTCCAGCCCACCGGAGCTGCCGGACGTGATGAAGCCACAGGATTCAGGAAGCAGCGCCAATGAACAGGCTGTGCAGTGAGGGTGGTGCCCCCCAATAAAGAGATTTGGGTGTCAAAAAAAAAAACCACACATACCATATGTTGTTGTTAGGTGCCATCAAGTCGCTTGTGACTCATAGCGACCTTATGTGCAAGAGCTCTGTACCCTGCTCTATCCTGAGCCAACCTCATTGTCTCTGACACACCTGCCCCATTATCCCAGCCACTGACTCAAATCCATTTCATCGAGGGTCTTCCTCTGTTGTGCTGTCCCTCCACCCTCCCAAGCATGACATCCCTCTCCAAGGACTGATCCCTCCTTGCAACATGTCCAAAGTATGTCAGATGAAGCCTCAGAATCCTTGTCTCCAAGGAGCCGCCTGGTTTCACCCTCTCCAGGATGAACCTGTTTGTCCTCCTAGCAGTCCGTGGTATATTCAACACTCTTCTCCAGCAACACAGCTCAGAGGCATCAGTTCTTCCCATTTTAAAATATAAAATGGTGGGGAAAACCCAGTTTCAAGTTTCAGCCTCTTTCCGTTTTAAATACATCCTTTTTCAGGTAGAAAGCAACATCCTGACTAACCTATGAGTTCAGGGGGCGGATGGTTGGGATTCACCTTCCCCTTCTCTTCTGTGGCTCCTCACACTTTCTGTTGCTGTCCTCCCGGAGGAAGGTCTTCCATAGGCCACTGTCGCCTTCCTTCTCAGGCACCATCAGTCTCATCCCCTCGTCTGCTAAAATTGTTCCCAAGATGTTAATGGACAAGAACAGCTTAGTCCACCCGTCACAGGGCCCAGATTTACATTTTGCTAGCTGCGTCTTGTGCTTTGAGAGCAGTTTGTTGTTAGTTGCTTTGGAATCTCACTCAGAGTGCCTTCACGTGTACAGAGGAGAACTTCTCCAACAGGGTGTTCAAACCTGTGACCTTTTGGCAGCAGAGAGCCCAGGCCCCTCTGGGTGGATTTGAACCACTAACCTTTCAGTTAGCAGTCCAGTGTATTAGCGATTTGCACCACCCCGATATTGAGAGTAACAACTGGAGAACATTCTAGGCAGTAAGGGAATGTACAGGCAAAAAGATCCAAGTGCTACACCTCTTTCCAGCTGGAGTCAGCCTGGACATGGGGGAACTGGGGACGCGGAGAGGGGGTGATGGGGGTAGACAGGGTGCATTTGGGGGGTGTGTGCATGGGTGCAGGCAAAGCAGTATCTGGCAGGAAGAGCACCACCTTTGGAGCTAGACGCCCCCCTTAGTACAGATGGCAACTCTTGTGTTTGCTGAGCAGTGTGGCGGAGCAAGTTCCTTCTGCTCATGGAACTTGAGTTTTCTCATCTACAAAATGGGGCTGCCAGGCAAGCTCTGGTGGCCTAGTGGCAAGAAGTTGCACTGCAATTCCAGAGGTGCGCGGTTCAAATCCACCAGATGCTCTGCTGAAGAGGAGGGACAATCTCCTCCTGTACCAGTCGATCTGATTTGATGGTACATACATTTAAAAAAATAATAATAATAAAAATTTTTTTTAAGTGGGGCTGCCAATAGTTTCTGGCTGGCTGGCTTATCTGGCCATGCCCTGTGTGCCGGGCTTGAGAGATCCAGGGATTAGTTAGCCCAACATAATCACCAGCCCTCTGTACATGGAGGTTTTTATGACTAAGGGGCTTTATCTGCAGAGCCCTTGGCTCCAAGTCACACTCTAGAGGCAGAAGGATTGTGTAGGAGATGCAGAGGTCCTAGTGGACCCAGTCTCCCTGCCATGGATAGGGTGTGTGTGTGTGTGTGTGTGTGTGTGTGTGTGTGTGTGAATCTGTGTGTAACTGTGTGAGTATGTGTGTGTAAGTATGTATGTGTGCATTTGTATATGTGTATAGGTGTCTGAATGTGTGCATGCACGTTGTGTCTGCATGCATGTGTGCACATGTGATTGTGTGCATATGAACGCATGTGTATATAAGTGGGCATATAAGTGGTTACATGTGCATATGTGCGTGTGTTATCTCCCTATGTATGATTATGTATGTGTGTTGTTGTTGATTGCCTTCGAGTCGAGCATGACTCATAGCGACCCTATGAATAAAAGGTCTGAAGCCCCTCGACAACTATTGACATTTATCAAAGTTCACGTATGTGGTGTTGTTGTTGTTGAGTGCTGTGGAATCACAGGCAATTGATTCATAGCGATTGAAGGAGAGTCCTCAATGCTTGGGTGTCTCTCATCCTGGATGCCACTCCTGCTTCCAAGCTTGTTTTAATCGGGGAGCTCCACCCCACTCTCTGTCTGCATTGGGTGACCAACCATTAACACACTTGACACATCAGTGTCACAGTGTTCAGCCTCACAGCAACCACAAGTGACCGCGGTACGACAACTTGTACACCAGGGCTATACGACCTAGAGGAATGTCTGAACAAAAACAATGAAAGACAGGCCTGAGGGCCGCAGATTAAGAGTCACCCACCTTCGGCTTGGTAGCATCGCCTTCTGTCCACTGGGCCAACAGATCTCTCTATGTTGATATTATTGTTGTTAAGTGCCATCAAGTCGCAGGCGACTCATAGCGACCCTATGAAGGAGAGTCCCGTGTGTGTGTGTGTGTAGGTATGTATATATTTATATATGGGTGTGCACACATGTGTACAGATGTGTGTATGAGTGAGTTTCATGAGTGTGTATGTCTGTGTGTGTCTGTATGAGGATGTGTGAGTGTGTAACTGTATGTGAGTTTGTGCATCTACATAAGGATGTGTATGTATTATATCTTTATGAGGATGTGTGAGTTTGTATATGAGTATGTGTGTATGTCTACATGTGTGTATGTCTACATGAGTATGTGTGTGTCTCTCTATATGAAGATATATGGTAGGAGTGTGTGTGTGTCTGTCTGACTGTCTGCCTGTCCGTCCATCCACTGCCTGGAGGTGCCTTGTGCCCAGGCTGGTGCTAACCTCCGGCCCCCATTGCAGTGCGCTTTACTGGTGGCCTCCCTGAAGAACCATTCAAGAAGACAGCTGGAAGCCGCTGCTGCACCCAAAGAAAAACCAAACCGCCTCAAGCTGGAGAGTCAGACCAAGAGGCAGCGCCCTCCCAAGCCCAGAGCCGTCTCTGTGAACAGAATGGTTTGACCCCCTCGCTGATAACACGTAGAGGATTTTGTTTACACCTTGTCTCCTGGTCTTTCCTAGATCTTAACGTGGCTGGGGAGGGTGGGAGCTCTGGTGGTCTGTGGTAAGACGTTGCACTGCTAGCCCAAAAGCACATAGTTCGAATCCACCAGCTACTCCAAAGGAGAAAGATGGGCAGTCTCTTCCTTTGCAATATACTGCTTCAAAAACGTGCTGGAGGGTCAGCTATGAGTTGATTTCCAACTCAGCAGTACATAACAATAACATGGCCAGAGACATGATACCCAGGGCCAGCAGGGCTTGGGACAGGGCTTCAGCGGTGAGTGCCCTGTGCTGGCCAAGAGAAAAAGCAGCACTTGGGGCAGGGGGTGGTCTGCTTTTCTATTTTGGGTACACTGGATCCCTTCTACCTACCTACCTCTGATTCTAACTGGCTGTCCTCATTGTTTCCAAGCCCTGTACTGAGGACCTTCCGGTGTGGATGACCCCTAACTACTACCACCATGGTTTCTGTGGCTCTGGGCTTGTCCTCAGGGTCTGTCAGGAATAAAGGGATTTAAATGTCAGGCAGGCTCTTGCTGTTGCTGCCAACAACTTTGTGGAGCTAAAAGGAGCCTGGGCCCGGGACAGAGCCTGCCTGCTACCCCCATGTCTGTCCTGCCGTACCCCAAATACCCTCAGCTACCAGAAGTAACTGAAGGGATGATGGGAAACCCTAGAATCAACACTGCGCATGAGCAAAGGCATTCCTCCACATTTCACGGCTGACAGACTTGTGAACACAGCAGGTCCTCAAAATGGGAGACCTCCCAGGGAATTCTGTCCAGAGTACCACTGCCTGCGGCCAGAGAACTCCCCTGGGTTTCTGGAGCTAATCCAGACCCACTGCCATCCCCTGCCTTCCCTGAGGTGTCTGAAACCACAGGGCCCGTCCATGTGGGCTCAGGGGCCCTAAGAGGAGGCTGGATGACACCAAGGCCTCCAATGGGCCTCCTCAAACAAGACCAGAGCCCTGGGGCCAAGGGTGATGTTTCATGACTCTCTCTGTGAACACCATTGATCCCAAGAAAGAAAGAGTTCCTCCCTTGAAAGTGAGGTGCCTTAGGGAATTGACATAGCCTGAATAATTATTTGTTGTAGTGTATACCCCCCACATCCTAGGCTAATAGGAAAGGGGGGGCAGGTAACTGTAGAGAGAGTTCTGGCAAGCCCTCTGTTGCTTTTCTAGCACTCGCTCATATTTCTCTCTCTCTCCCCCCCCATACCTCTCTCCCTTCCTTTCTCTCCCCTACTCTCCTTCTCTCTTTCTCCCTCTCCCTCCCTCTGTCTCTCTCCCTCTCTATTTCTCTCTCTCTCTCCTCTTCCTCTCCCTCACTCCCTCGCTCTCTCCCTGCCTCCCTCTCTCTCTCTCTCTCTCTCTCTCTCTCTCTCTCACACACACACACACACACACACACACACATTCATGCATGAACTTTTCACCTCAAAACCTAGAATCCTCTCTGAATCTCCAATAGCAAACAGATCCAGCATGTCCTGAAGCATTTCCTTAGGCTGAGGTAGCTGTGGTGTACTAGTCACCCCAGAAACCAGGCCAGTGATGGGAAAGACCACCTCTTTTCTAGAGCATTCAAGATGACTCTGACAGAGAGAAGAGCCCCCCCTTGAAAGCTCTGAAGTGGCGTCCAACCAGTGGCAAAGCGATCATCCCCGCAGGTGAGGCTTGGCCACAGTCAGGCTGGGTGGGCAGGGGGAAGCAAGGCCATGGCTGAGGCAGGCTCTGAGCCTGTGTCAGCACGAGAGTCCCTGTGACATAGCCAGTGATCCTGCATCTCAAGCACGTCCCAGTCCTTCTGTTGAAACTGTAGTCTATCCATTTCCTTCTTTATAGGCAAGGAAACTCAGGCTCAGAGGAGCCAAGGACAGCATGCCAAGTGCTTGTGACAAGGTGTCAGTATTGTTGTGAAAGTGCTCAACTCATGGAGCGCTAGTGGCTCAATGCTAAGGAGTGTGCTGCCAGCCCAAAGGCACACGGTTCAAATCCACCAGCTGCTCCACAGGAGAAAGATAGGCAATCTCCTCCCACGTGATTTACAGCCTCAGAAAAGCCATTGGAGTCGATTCTGATGTGACTCTACATACTCACCTCATAGGACCAAAGACCATCTGTCTCGTTTCTCATGTCAAAGATGTCCCAAAGGCCCTCGGTACAAATCCACCAGCTGCTCCGCTGGAGAAGGAGGGGCAGTCTCCTCCTGTGCCAATCGGATCTGATTCAATGGTACATAACAACAACAACAAAAACAACCCAAAATTAACCAAAAAAAAAGAAAAAAGATGTAGCCGAGTAGCTTGGGATATACTTCTGGACATAACAAGAGCGACTCTAGAGTCTTGGCACTCCTCTTGCTCTGAATCCACTTGCCTCAGTGATCAACAAGAGGGCTGGGGATAAAATGAGCCCGTGTATAGAAAACACGCCATAACGGGTTCATATCTTCATCCCAGCTGTCACTGGGTGCACCCCAACTCCTGGTAACACCTCAAGTGCCAGGGAAGACCTGTGCTTCCAGGGTTCCCTATGGGGTTTCTAATGGCTACTGTTTTGGAAGTAGATCAATCACTGTCCTTTTTTCCCAGGAGCCTCTGGATGGGCTTGAACCTCCAACCTTCAGTTAACAGCTGAGCATGTTAATTGTTTGTACCACCAAATACAGGGTTTGAATCCACCAGCTGCTCCATGGGAGGCTGGGCAGTCCTCTCCCGTAAGATTTACTGTCTGAAAACCTGCTTCAGGGTCAGTGAGGTGTCGGTTCCAACTCCACAGCACACAACAACAATCACCATTAAATACCAGGGATTGGTGCACGGTAGCTCTAAACACTGCTGATGCTGGTGAGGTCAGGGCCCCAGGGCACCTCAGGGCCACCTTGGAGCCCCAATTTCCAAAGCATAACTGAAGTTGGGGAGCTCCTAAGCCAGGCAGACAGCATTGCTACCTGAAGCCACAAGGCTGCTCCATCCGACAGGCCAAATGTCCCCTAGCTCCAGCGCCGTCAGCGAGAGCATGGACTGCAGAACAGAGGCGGAAGAAGACAAAAACACGGGAAGCAGAGACGTCGTTCTTACTGTTTTACACAGATACAGGGAATAATGTGGGTAAGCCGGAGAAATTACACCCCCTCCACATGTCTGTGTAACCCCTTGCCATTCAGGCAATGTAAGGTCAACAGCTCGTCTGTCCCTGGACAGCAGGGTCACATCCTTGTATGGACTGTGAGGTCCATCCTTAAACAATTCAAGTTGAAGTGCAACTCTGGAGTTTTGACACTGACAAGAGAATGAGTAAGGTTACCACTGGATATGGATCCCCTGAGGTCCTTGGGTGAGCACTCGGGCTCCATCCATGGGGGAGAGGGAGGAAGGCTGGGTCCTCAGTTCTGAGACTGATTGAGAATGGGGTGAATATGGTTCCTTTTGGTCAGCCTGATTGTTGTTGTTATGTGCCATCAAGTTGCCTAAGACCCATAGCAACCCTAGGTAAAGCAGCTCTGAAGCCTGCCCTATCCCGAGCCCATCTCATTAAGTCCTGTGAAATGGCCCATCCCAATAACAGTTCACTAATGCCATGAACAATGGAGAACCCCTTACCAGCCTTCCACCCACCCACCTCCCTTTCTTCCTCGCAGTAATTGGCACCTCAGGAATCGTACAGCTGACTTGACTGAACTGGAAAAGTGGGCAGGAAATTGGGCCCTGAGGTAACAAAGGGACCTCCACCCTTTCTCCTAGGCTCAGTGTACAAGAAATATCCTCAGAGGAGGGGCGTGAGAAGGACCAGCTCTTCCATTGAGTTGCCCAGAAAGAATCAAATCTGCTCCAGCAAAGAGGTATTGTCTCTACATTTCATTCCATTCATGGACTATTGCTTGTCGGAGGGTGGAAAAGAAAACAACTGCTTAGAATGAATGACTGCTGTGGTGATGGAATGTGAGCTGGATAGAGCTCTGGTGGTCGTAGTCTGTAGGGTGTTATGGTGCTGACAATAAGGCCAAGTACGAATCAGGTGGTTCGAATCTATCAGTAGCTCTGAGGGAGAAAGATGGGCTGTCCTCTCCTATTAAGAGGAAAGTACTAGAAAGATGTTGAAAGATTGCTATGAATCAGAACTGGCGGAGTGAGACTTAGGTTTCAAACGGGGATCTGCCAGGTCTTTGCTGGGTAACCATGGGCAAGCCATTTAGCTACTATCAATCTCCATGTCCTTGTTTATAAAATGAAGATAATCACACTCATCTAGTAGAATTGGTGTGAAATTCATTATGTTTTGTGCAAAATAGATGTCTTAGTGTAAGATACTTTTGTCTCCTAGCCAAGGGAAATCCCCCTCCTTGTTCATTACCCACAAGATAGAGAGGACATCTTTTTTCTCACCATCATCTGATAAGAATCCAGGCTTTTTGCTGATTGAGCACATCCTGATCTGAATGCCATGCTCTGATTGGTTAGGGCATACCCCTTCTTGTATCCATCATTGGAGCAAGGAGACTGGGATCATCCTGATTGGTTGAGACTTCTGACCTTCAGCCCAATCAGAGCTTTCCACTAAAATATTATGGAGGAGGGCGGAAATAGGTATTGTGGAAACAATAGTCTAGACTAGCAAGTGTCACTACTCAAGAAATGTTATTCCTCATGCTCTTATTTCTTGCGCATCTCTTCCCAGCGCCAAGGAAGACATCTGCCCGCAGCAGATGCGCAGTGAGGGCTTGGGAACCCCACAGATTAACAACCTTTTGAAATGGATTTTAAATGAGGTTCCCAGAGACATGAGTCAGACAGTCATTCACTTATGTCTGAATTCTCTGAGATAATGGTTCTTGATTCAATTAAAACCCCCCAAATACATGCAAGAAACCAAACTCAATGCCGTAAGTTGCTTCTGACTCATGGTGAGTCATTATTTTCCTGCTGGGCTCAAACTGCTGACCTATTGGTTAATCGTGGAATGCTTTGACGTGTACCAACAAGGCTTCTTCTATGTGTTTATCTGATTTGTCTTCCTTTACTTTAAAGTGGATAGCCAATTACGGGCTCAAAAAACTGAAGATGGAGGTTTACAGACATCTCGGTCCCAGATGCACTCATCAGAAGTCGGTCCGGGGGTCCGCATCAGCCAAACACTGCAGTGTCCTCCCCAGCGTCGAGATCAATGTGAGTAACCATTGTTCTTTCTCCTCCCTCAAGTCCTGCCTCTTAGCTGCAAAATGCTGAGGGCAGCTTTGTTTTTGTTGTGGGTATGAGTCTTCCAGTCAGAGCCAACCCATAGCTGACCCTCCAGCAGGTTTTCAGAAGCTGGAAAGTGTGTGGGAAGAGACTGCACACCTTTCTCCCGTGGAACAATTAGTTTGTGGATTTGAACAGCTTGCCTTTGGGTTGGCAGTGCAGCTTCTTCCACTAGGCTACCCAGAGGACTGTGCTATAGAAGATGCCTTGTAAATGTGCAGCATTTGGGCTCATTTCCCTGATTTTAAGATGTATGTAATTGTCTCCTAAAGTGAAGTGATCCCTCAGGGAATAAGGAGATACAGAATCCTATTGGATGAAAAGCCAAGCCCTAGATTGAGTCTGAGAGGGGAATGAAAAGCTAGGCTAAATGTTTGGAAAGGGAAAGCAGGATGGGCAGTCTCTTCTTGTGTGATTTACAGCCTCTGAAAACTCACTGGAGGCTTAACTGTGAGTTGGTTCCAACCCAAAGGCAATGAGTTGAGTTTTTAGATGGTTGTTTTGGAAATTATAAACCACAAATGGAATAAACTATTCTGGTTGTTGATGAGGAAGTGGAAACATTTAGGTGGGGGAGGCCAGGGATTTGCCCTCACTTGTCTTGATCTAGGGTCTGGTGAGACACCTTCAGTGGACGCTCTGGGAAGTGGAAACCTACATCACGCACATGGAGAAAGTACTGAGGAGCTATGTCCAGAGGCTGCAGTGGCTGCTGTCCGGTGAGCCTACGTGTTGTCCTGGGGGAGCAGAGAAGAATGCTGTTGTTGTTGTTGTTAGGTGCTATTGAGTTGAAAAAGACTCCTGATGGCCTTGTGAGCAACAGATCTGAATATTACGCTATCCTGTGCCATCCCCATCATCCCTGACACACCTTGGCACATTGCTGCAGTCACTGTGTCAATCCATTCCATTGAGGGTCTTCCCTTTTGCTGACCTTGTCAAGTATTACATCCCTTTTGGAAGAATAACCTCTCCTAGCAACATGCTCAAAGTACATCAGTCAAAATTCCATCCTTGCCTCCAAAGAGCACTCTGGCTGTACTTTTCCAGGATATAAATGTTCTTTTCGCAGTCTGTGAGATACTCCTCTCTATCAGAGCTCAAAGGCATCAATTCTTCTTTTGTCATTCTTACTCATTGTCCAGTTCTCAGATGCATGGCAAGTTATTGAAAAGACCGTGGACTTTATTAGGCACACCTTAGTCTTCAGTCTGGCATCATTGCTCCTTAGTGATTTGGAGCAGTCCCTGAAAGTGTAATTGCCCAATGCAATATGTCTCCTGATCTCCTGACTGTTGCTACCAAGGGTGTTGATCGTGGATCCAAGTATGAAGAACTCTCAAGTCAGTCCTTCACAAGACAGGAACTCAGGAGCTGTCAGGTAAGAAGTTAAGTCAGGATGATGATCTGGGTGAGTGCAGAGGTCAGACAAGATGACGTTGTTGTGAGTGCAGAGGTCAGGCAAGATGCTGTTGTTCGTCAAGGGCTGGTGACCAGAAGGTGTACCTGTACCAGTCAGATCCAATTAAAATAATATAGTTAACTGTAAAAAAAATTAAAGAAAAGGGGGAGCAAAATGTATGATGCATTAGCATTTGCAATAATCCCTCTGGCCAAAGCGGGGGGTCTGTGGGGGGGGAATTGGCGAAGGAATGACATGCAATCAGAGGGACCTTGTAGGGACCTGGGTGAAAGGTGAGGCCAGCTGAAAAAGAAGCATGGGTGGAGAGGGTCAAAGTGGAGAGAGTGAGCGTGGTTTCAGAGGTAAAAGGGCAGGGCTTAGAGACTTGTATCATTGGGAGGGGGAAATTACATCAATACATGACCGTCAAATCACCGAGAGTCAAGACTCAGCCACGTGGACACCCATTTTTGGAAGACATGAATGTCTCATGGACTTGCAACCAAATTGTTCCTTAGAGCCAAAGATGCTGAAACTTCCTCTCTGCTCTCACATCCTTTGGGCTTATTGTCAGGAGAGGTTAGTCCTTGAAAAAAGTCATCCTGGGGAAAATGGAGGGTCTGAGAAAGAGAGGAAGACCCTCAACAAGGTGGGTTGACACAGAGACTGTGACAATGGGCTCAAGCATGTTGGCGATCAGGAGGATTACTGAGAACAGAACAAGGTTCAGATCTATTGGTCTGAGGGTCGCAGTGAGTCACAGGTGCCTCGACAGCGCATAACAACAACAGTGCGACCCATGACGGGCGCTATTAATTCAAGCACTTAAATTTTAGAGACGAGGAAACTCAAGCTTGAAAAAGTATAATGCTTGAGCATATCACGGACTGGCAGAACTAGGGTTGAAATCTCTGTCTTTCAGATTCTGACCTGCTTCACCCCTGAGCTGTTAACCCTTCCACCAATCATCTCCCAGTGATTTGCCCAGTTGCCATAGAGTCAAGTTCAGTTCATGGTGACCACATAGGTGTAGACCTGTTCATTGAGGGTTTTCAATGTCTGATTTTTTTTTTTTTTAGAAGTAGCTCACCTGACCTTTCTTACAAATTGTATCAGGTTGGACTCACACTTCCAGCCTTTGAGTTAACACCTTAGCCTGTAACATTTGCAACACTCAGAGACTCCTCCCAGTTGGATTGACATCTGAGAAACCCTCTAGGGTGTTGCAAAACTAGGGTTCTAATAGTCAGTGGGAAAGCCGCCCAGAAGGAATTACTGTTCACTCCTTTCCTGCCTCTGTCACTACCTCAAAGGGAGCCGCCAACTATTTGGCACCATCTTGGAAAGCAACGTGTGCATCCTGCTGGATACATCGGGGTCCATGGGCCCCTACCTGCCGCAGATGAAGACACAGCTGATTCTGCTGATTTGGGAACAACTGCGGAAGCATTGCAAGAGGTAGGAAGTGGGGTGTAGGCTTAGAAGGACCAAAGGGCTGGTTCTCGGTTTCCCTGGCCAAGTTCACACCCTTCTGACTGTTCCAGTGGGACTGGGGGTTCTGAAATGCTCTCCTGAATAGCTGTTTTGAGCCAAAAAGGGCCCTATTTTGCAACAAAAGTTAAGCAGGTCTTAGAAATTCATCTGAGGCCTGGGGACAGTTGCCACCAGAGCACAGGAAGTCCATAAAGCATTGAAAGACACATTTCAGCTGAGTTCAGCTTTCGCAAGAGCCCTGCTAGTGTAGTGGTCAAAGCACACATCTGGTAACCAAAAGGTGGATGGTTCGAACCCACCAGCCACTCAGCAGGAAAAGCTGTGGCAAGCTGCTTCTATAAAGATTCACAGCTTTGGAAATTGCTTGGGGCAGATCCACTTTGTTCTCCAGGGTCTCTGTGAGTCCACATTGACGCCACAGCAGTGGATTTTAATTTTTTTCTTTTTTTTTTCTAATGGGAGTGTGTGTTTTTCCTCTCTACTCAGAAAGCTCCACCATGGGAGGTCATCAGGAAGTCCTGGCCGTAGGCTGGACTCCTTTTTGCCTAAATATAAATAAGCATTTATTAAGGAGCCCTGGTGTCAGAGATGGTTAAGTACTTGCCTTTAGCTGTATGCTACCAATCCAACCCCAAGCTTTCGTTGAGCACTTTCTGTGTGCTGTACACTTCCTCTAGTGATGTGATTCAATCCTCACCCCCCTTTGTTGTTGCTGTAGGTGGTGTAAGTTGTTGAGTCAGGATAGACTCATGGCTGACCCTCCAACACATTTTCAGAGGCTCCAAATTGCACAGTGGGAGACTGCCCGTTTTTCTCCCAAGGAGCAGCTGGTGGATTCGAACCACGTGTCTTTGGGTTAGAATCTTTGGATTGGTGGCACCACTTCTTCCCATGAAGTCCTTAGAGGTCATGCTGTTATATTTCCGTTTTCCAGATAAAGGAACTAGAGAGTTTAAAGAAGTTAAAGTTTAAGCTAGGATGTAAAGGAGGTATGTGATTTGTCCAAGATAACATAACCACTAAGTGGTTGAGCTGGAATTTAAACCTGTTTCTGTAGAATCTTCATTCAGTGTGTGTGTGACTTTTCCTTCTGAGCAGGCCCACGGGAGTCTCCGCAGGGGTCCTCATTGATAACCATAACTAGTCCTCACTAGAGATGACTTCGCCTGGAATTCATTCAGACTGGCTTGTGGTAACCAATTTCTTTCTCCTCTCTGTTCCTGCTTCCTCTTTGCTTCTCCCCAGTTTTAACCTTATCGGCTTTGCAGAGGGCCTGAATCTGTGGAGGGACACTCTGGTGGCGACAACGGATGCAGCATGTCAAGATGCTATGCAGTGGGTGACCCGCCTGGAAGCTCAGGGGAACACCTCAGTCTTACAGGCTTTACTGGCAAGTCCCTCCCATGAGCCCAGTCCCCATATTGTGACCTTGTACTCATGTTAGCAAGGCCACCTCTGTTTGCCTGATGCTGTATTGTTTTTAAATGCTGTTGCATCACTTAGGACTCATATCAACCCTATGAACAATGGCTCTGAACCGCGTCCTATCCTGTGCCATTATCATCTCTGACATACTCGAGTCTGTTGTTACAGTCACTATGTCACTTCATTTTATTGAGGGTCTTCCTCTCCTTCACTGACCCTCCACCTTTCCAAGTATGACATCCTTATTCCAAGAACTCCTAACAACATGCCCAAAGTATGTGACATGGAGTTTCACCACCACCACCACCCCCCGCCTCCAGGGAGCACCCTGGTTGCACCTTTTCCAAGACATACTTGTTGTCCTTGACACAGCCTCTACAAAGTGGTTTCTCATACTTCCTTCACCTTCGCCACAGCCCAGTGAGAAAGGGATTCCCATAGGTTCCGCTTTATAGATGTAGACTCTGAGATTCAGAGTTTACGTGACTTGCTTGGGATTAACCAGTTGGGAACTAGGCCGTGATTTTGGCTAAGCCCTGGGTGGTGCAAATGCTTACTGTGCCTAGCTGCTGACTGGTAGGTTGGAGGTTCGAGAGAGGCACTTTAGAGGAGGTTTTTAAATCCATGTGGGACACACACACATACACACACACACACACACACACGGGCTGCCATGGATCAGAGTCGACTCTGCTGGGTTTATTCGATCAGCTCTCCCGCCCCTGTGCTTTGCTGACCTTACCACACTCTTTCAGAAAGCTTTCCAGTTTCCCCGCACGGAAGGATTGTACCTCCTGACAGACGGGAAGCCAGATACAAGCTGCAACCTGATCCTAAACGAAGTCCAAAAGCTCAAGGAGAAAAGTGCCATGAAAGTGCACACCATTTCATTTAACAGCTCGGACAGGTAAGCAAGGAGCAGCTGTTGAGGTGTTTTGTTTTGGGTTTTGTTTGTGTGTGTGTACCGTCAAATCAGATCTGACTGGTACAGGAGGAGATTGTCCCTCCTTCCCCCGCAAAGCATCTGGTGGATTTGAACTGTGTGCCTCTGGGATTGTAGTTGCAGCTCCTTGCCACTAGGCCACCAAAGCTCCCCTTGTTTTGTTTTTTTAACCTATCCGATGGCCAAATGTCAAAGGGAATGTCTGAACTGACTTCCCTAATATGAAGACGCAGGTTAGACCTCTTCTGGGCCCATGATACCAAGAATCAGACGTGCAGGAGAGAGTCAGACTTTCTGTAGGGGGTGGCCACAAGTTACCACTGCATGAAAGGATCATTCTCCACGCTCCCTGCTTAGCCATCGAGGGCCAACAGGTTTACGTGGATCCACCAGGACATGTTTTCTTCTCCTTCACCATCTTTTTTGGGGGGGAGCACATTTGCAAATTGTTGTTGTTGTTGTTATATGCCGT